AGTAGAGGCCCAGCTTCTGCAATGTAGCTGATAGCAGACTGTAGAGCTGGAAGCCACATACTTGCTGCAGATTGAGTCCCCAGACCAGTTGGCCTGAAAACACACCAGACATGTGACATGTGTCCAAGATCCTAGCAGGCTGAAGGCAGGGGATCACGGTGTGACTGAACCCTGTGTTCCCTTCCCCTTTGTCTCCCCCCATCCCCAGTCTATCATTAATAAACAAAACAAAAAGCCTGTTCACGGGGTGTCCTTTGTACTTGGAATAAAATCCGGTAGTTAAGGCGCTGGACACTCCCACATGGCTGACCATGGTTCGAGTCCCAGACCTGGTGGTTTGCTTTCTCACTTTCTCTCTCTCTCTTTCTCTCTCTCTCTCTTTCTCTGTGTGTGTGTGTGTCTGGTCAAATTAAAATAAATGAATGATTAAATTTTTAAAAAATCCAGAATCTATCCTTTCGTGTTTGATGAGGCCAGCCCCTGTCTACCTTAATTTAATTCATGCTCCCTCTTCTAACTTCCTCAACTATAGAGGAAGTCATTTCTTCTAAGAACCAGGTTCTTTCCTACCTCAGGATTTTTGCACTTGCTGCGTTCTCTGTGCTCAGAATGCTCCCTCCTTTTTATCCCCACTCCATCTCTGCTTAGAGCCTTCTTTTGCTTTTGGCCTTAATTTAAAGGCCAGGAAAGTAATGCCTGAACTGTTAGTGAAGAGATTTGCAGGCCTATTGGTGGTGGCATGCACTGCTAGGAAGCTGTGGCTCATAGGCTATGACCATATTGGAGGCCTGAGTTCAATTCCCTGTTCAACCTAACGGCCAGGTGTGGTGGTGTGCATCTGTAGTCCCAGCAGGGAGAATGAGGCAGGGAGATTGCAACAAAGTGAAATCCTGTCTTTTTATTAAAATTTTTAAAAATTTGTTTTTAGAATTATTTAATTTATTTTATTATTATTTTAAAATTTGCTATGGGACCAGGAGTTAGCATAATGGCTATGTTGCTGGACTCCCATGTAGTCGACTGTGGTTCGAGTCCTGGACCCGGTGGCTTAACCTCCACGCCAGGTCTGTGTGCGTGCATGCCCAAGATCCCGAGAGGAGAATGGAGGAGAAGGGATTGTGGCGTGGCCATCCACCCTGGGAGGTGATTTCTCGCTTTCTGTCTGTCTCTCTCTGTCTTTCTGGCGAGCACACATGGCCTATAGCAAAAACCTCTCCAAAAAAAGAAAAAATAAAAATAAATAAAATAAAATTTGTTATAAGGGCATATATGCCTACCAGAAGGAGACAGGGCAGGGGGAAGCAAGAAAGGAGCCCCAGGTACTGGACTCCAACCACAGTCAGCTGTGTGGGAGTCCAGTGCCCCAAATACCACACCACCTGCAGGCCCCTAGACCTGTCTTTACAAACAAAAGTAATGAAGAGGGCAGCTGTGTGGCTTGGCAGTAAGGTACTGCTGAAGTAAAGCTGGACCCAGATTAATAAATAGATTGCAGTTTGGTTGTTTGGTTGACTTACATGTCAGTCCTATGTGTCCATGTTCCTGGCTGGCAGGGAAGGCTGGAGAGAAGGATCATAGAAGATCCTGTTGAGGTGCTTGTCTTTCTCTTCCACCGTCCACCCTAGTCTCTCTGTTTCTCCCTCTCATGAAAGAAAGTTAAATTAATAATAATAGATTTGCAAAAATTGATTGGCAATGCTTCTCGTATCTCTTGATTCCTTTTTTTTAGAATTCCATTTTTATTTTATTTATTACTATTATTATTTTAAAATTTTGCTAGGGCTTATGCTCTCACTAGAGAGAGAGATTGCAAAAGCAAGCTGCCAGGTTTGGGACTCGAACTGCTGTCAGCCAGGTGAGAATCCAGTACCTTAAGCACCATGCCACCTGCTGGCCCCCTTAATTCTTTTTACAAAAGCAGGGTTTTTTTTTTTTTTTTTTAATAAAAATACATTATTTATATTAACATAATGTGTTTTGTTGTTTTTTAATTAGTGTTATGTTTCTCATGTTTAATTTCAAATATGGTATATAATGATAGATATATCCCACATAAAGCGAGACATTTTTGGAAACCTCCAAAAATGATTAAAATTTTTTTATTAATGGTAAAAAATATACAGCATTTGAACTCTTTTTAGGTGTATCATTCTTTTTGGGTGTAGCATTAAATATATTCATAGTGTTCAGCCATCCATTTGCAGAGCTAGGTAAAAGTTCAGGTATTTCATATAAGTGGAACTGTAACGTTTGCTTTGGAATCTGCGTTAGTTCACTTACTACAATATAATGTTTTCAGGGTCTGTCTGTGTTGTAGCATATATCAAACTTTCATTCCTTTCTATGACTGAGTAATATTCCATTGTATGTTCATCACGTTTGGTTTATCCATTTATCTCCTTTGCTTCTGGTTATGATGTGAGAGCAATTGAAAGTCCCACTGTTAATTATTGGTAATTTAAACTGAAGATTTACTGATTTAATAATAAATCATATAACATAGCATTTATATATGGCCAGGTCATGGATTATGGACATACTTTCCCATACTTTTTAAAATTAAAGTACTATTTAAATTTGCTAGAGGGCACATGTGTGAGAGAGAGAGGGAGAGAGGGAGAGAGAGATGGGGGAAAGTGAGAAAGCACTCCCCATGGGGCACAGTCACACCACAATCCTCCTCCATTTCTCCCTCCTTTCAGGATTTTGGCCAGATAAACATATATGCCTGGCGTGGTTTTCAAGCCACCAGGTCCAGGACTCAAAGAGTTGGCCATGTGGGATCCAGCTGTCTTAACCATCACTCCATTGGCTGCCCCCCCCAGTACATTTTTTTAATCCAGAGAAAGAGAAATTCAACCTGGTATATGAAATTCTGAGTCATTGATTGAGGTAATATTAAATCACTTAACTCTAACTTTCCCCATGATATTTTTAGTTGTGGCTTTATAGAGGTTAATTTTATTGAAAGCAAAAGCTTTTTATTTGTTAACAGTAATTACCTACTTTAAAATCATTCTTTCTCTAATTAGGTTAAGTTATGATTTCTTTCTCTTTTTTCTTTTCCAGAGAGATTTTTGCTATAGGGCACGTGCACTCACCAGAAAGACAGAGAGAGACAGAGAAACAGAAAGGGAGAACTAAACCCCCTGGGGGGATGCCCACGCCACAATCCCTTTTCCTCCATTCTCCTTTCAGGATCTTGGGCACGCACGCACATGTACCCATCATGAGTTTAAACCACCGGATCTGGGACTCAAACCGTGGTTGACTACATGGGCGTCCAGCGACATAGCCATTATGCTAACTGCTGATTCTGTTAAATGATAATTTCATAGTTTGGGCCAGCCAATGCCACCATGGTGGTTAAAGCAGTTGGATTCCTACATGGCTGACTGGTTTAAGTCCCAAACCCAGTGGCCTGAGAGACATGTTGAGTGCATGCCCACAAAATCAAGGGGAGGATGGAGGAGAAGGGACTGTGGTGTTACCCAACTTTCTGCTCTTTATTTCTTTTAATCTCTTCCTCTCTGGCAAATATGTGTGTCCTCTGGCAAAAATGAAAAAAAAATTAGGGACCAGCAGTTAGCGTAATGGTATGTCACCAAATCCCCATGTAGTCAACCGCGGTTCAAGTCCTGGACCTGGTGGCTTAAACTCACGCCAGGCCCGTGTGTGTGCGTGCCCAAGATCCTGCGAGGAGAATGGAGGAGAAGGGATTGCAGCATGGCCATCCCCGCTGGGGGGTGATTTCTCACTTTCTGTCTCTCTGTCTCTCTGGTGAGTGCATGCTCCCTGTAGCAAAAACCTCTCAAAAAAAAAATTATATTTCTGCTTCATTAAAGGCTGTTTCAATCCTGCTACCCTATGCTTTTTTTTCCTTCACCCGAAGTGTTTGCTATAGGGCATGAGCACTTGCCAGAGGAGAGAGGTAAAGTGAGACGTCACCCCCCGGGGGGTGGCCATGCCACAATTTCTCCTCCCTCATTCTCCTCTCAGGATTTTGGGCACACACGCACATGTGCTTGGCGTGTTTTCCAAGCCACCAGGTCCAGGACTCAAAACACAGTGCTGGCCACGTGAGCTCCAGCTTCCTTAGCCACCATGTCACCTGGCTGGCCCCCTGCCTTCCTATGATTTTTATCCTCTTTCTTTTATAGACCTGAAACAGTGTCTTTTACATAATAGGTTACTTAAAAATGTTTATTGAATTAGTAAGCATTTTTTATCTACACAGTTAACATTTTTTTCTATTATTTTTGTGAATCATACCACTGAAGTCATTCATTATTTATAGATTTTACTAGTTTAGTTTTATAAGGTACTCTCATTTTTCAGGTTCTTAAGTTTTATTAACTTTGTTCCTATATATTAAAAAAAGATCAGGCTTTTAAAAGACTTTGACACTCAAAAGTTTTCAACACTGTTGTGAATTTTTAAAAAACTTTATTAAGCTGTAGAGCCAAATGTTAGTGAAGGCAGTTATCCCCTGGCTCCTGTGCTTATGAATCAGATCATAACTATTTCTTTGACTTGGATTTGTGGTTTCTTGAACAAATTTAAGTGATGTAAAAGATGAGTCTTGTTAGGCGTTTCCTCTATTTAAAAAGTGTATCAAGGTTTTATTGTAAACAGGTTTCTCCAAGGAAACTTGACAGTCTCAGCTCATCATCCTAGGAATGAAAACCCCTCTGTATGTAGACATCTCTAAATTACTTTATTATTAAGCTGTTTTTTAAAAACTCATGTGTGTGTTGGTTTTTATTTTACATATACATGTATTTTCAAACTATTCCCAGAGTTTTTGAAGTAACTCCATTCTGACTCAGTCTTGCTGGTTATAGATATTTTCCTTTAGGTGCCTTTCCACCCACTCGGAACTGTGAATGCCTTTTTTGGGTGCTCTGGTCACTGAGTACATGAGTAAACGTCACATGCATGTGATACTGCTTGTCAGAGAGAGGAATTCTAAGACTTCCTCTTTACACAGAACAGTTTGACTCTGTACTGCTAGGCAGAGATGGTCCTTGGGACAGTCCTGCTTCCACCGAATGGTTACGGCAGAGACCGCGATGGGGCGCTGTGCTGCATGGGTGGTGTGGCCTCAGGCTCCTCTCTGCCTGACAGCGTGACAGGTATGAGACAGGGGAGCTCCTAGGGGACAGGAGATGGCCACAGTCACTGAGTGTGAATGCTTTCCATGCATTAATCTTGTTTGCATTCTTGGTCAGTAAAGGCTGATGTTACTTTTTCCTGGTATTTCATAGCAGCATCTCAATAAATGCTTTTTGATGGGGAGAATATATGGGTACTATAAAATATTTTGCGCTGTTAAGGTACATATGGTTTGATGTGAAGAACTTAAGCTGTTTTGAGAACTGTTGAATAATTTATCCAACTACCTTAACGTAGTTCTTAAAAGAGATGTTACAAATTATTGGCTTCTTAGAGATTATGTAATCAGATAAGTGGAATTCTGGCATGGTAAGTGCTTATAAATTACTTGAAAATGCCTAAACTGAGTTTTTAAATTTTAATTCCCCTGATTACTGTCTGACAAATTTCTAAGTAAACTGACGAGAAAGTCATTGAATGACTAATTAGAAAAAACTGTTTTTCATAAAATGAAACATAAGGTATAGAGGAATTATCTCTGAATTTGAGACTTAGTTTTATTATTCTGAGTTTTAACTTGTTTAATCATGATAATTTGTGCAAATGGCTATTTCTGTTTTGCTCTATTTTTGTTATATCCTGCAGGCATATTGATAGAAAAAATTAAAAAATGCCCTTCACTAATCATCATCATCATGTATTTTTGCTTCCTGAGCCCTTTTATGTACCGTTGGTGACAGCCAGAGCTTCCTTTTTTCATCTTAAGGCCATGATTCTTCCTTTCTAGCTGTGATTAATGGAAGACTCGTTAACTTGCTGTCTAAGGTACCTAAAATATAGGAGTCACTTCATGTTGTTTAAAAATAAAAGAATCCCAGCCTACACACGCGCGCTGAGGCGGCTGCAGCACATCTGACTCATCCCGACGTGTGTGTCTTAATCCACGCGGAAAGTGCACAGACAAAACCATGGGCCTTACGTGATGTGTACTTGCTCTTTCCACAGGCTTTTGTCTTGTTTTTGCTTTTATTTTTAGCTTGTTTTCCCCTGTTTATTAACTCTTTATGATTCCATATGTGTTTGTTTTTGGCCTCAGTAAAATATTTGAATGTCTTTTTCTTTAAAAAGTTTTCCTTTTGTTAGGTACGAGTGGGTAGGATGGCATTTAAGTGGATATCCTGTGCAGACGGACTGTACGGGAAATTGACCCTTGGTTCTATTTAGAACAAAAGCGTGAGTGGGAAGAAAGAAAAAAGGAAGGAAATCAGATATTTTTACCTCACCGGAAAAGACTGTAAAACCAGAGATGGGAAGAAGGAGAATGGAAGATGAAAAGGATTGTTTTTCTAAGTTGTGGTTCTTCTAGGGCTGTAGCTCTTAAAAGGATTTTTATCCTGTATTTATTACTTCACATATTTGAAAAGTATATAGTATTGTTTGGCCTGTGCATATCTTTTAAATTTAATTTGTGCTGTTGGTCTCACGATGTCTTCTCCTTTTGTCAGATAATACGGTTTTTAGGCAGCTAACTTGCCTTTAACAGTCTTCATTTGGGCTTAGAGTCCTCCCACAACAGATGAACCACATGTTTCAGGCATCTTTGTACGCTGACAATCTGTCACTCTACTGTCATTAGTGCAGAATTTCTGTTCAGCCAGTTTAAATGCTTATCCATTTTAAATTTTGAATCCTTTCCTGGCTCCAGAATTGTTTTTCCATCTTTCGTAGTATCCTCTGTGAGTATGGCAATATACATGATTCATTCATTCTACAAATCTTTCTTGAGAGCCTTATATATAAGCACTGTTCCAGTTCCACTGTACAGGAACACAATAGACAAAAATCCTTGTGTTTATAAAACTTACATCCTAGTGGGGGAGTTAGATAAAATACACAAAGATAATAATAAGCAAGTAAATATGTGATGTCTTTGGTGGTAATAAGGGCTGTGGAGAGAAATGAAGAAAGGAGACATGGGGTGTGAGTCAGATGCACATTGTAACAGGGCAGTCAGAGAATGCCTTACCACGAGGGGAACATTTGAGCAAATTGTTGTGAGGAAGGCAGAAGGGAAAACCAGCACAAAAGTCCTGAGCCTGGAGAATGCTCGACACGTTCAAGCAGGGAGCCTCAGAGGAAGATAATGAAAGATGAGCTGGCAAGACAAATTGCAAAAGGCCTTGCAAGCCCTTTAAGGATTTTGACTTTTAAGATGGGGAGACATTAACGTGTTCTGAACAGAGAAGTAATACAGTCTGATTTATGCTTTAAAAGATGGTGGTATGTTGAAAACAGACAGTAGGGAGCAAGTTTAGAAGCGTGGAAATTAATCGTTAGTCTAGAGAAATAATATAGGTGAGAGATGATCGTGGGGACAGGGTGGTGATAGTGGAGGGGCTGAGTAGAAATGGATATATTTTTGGCTTTGTATATATTTTTTAAGGCAGTGCCAATAGGATTTCTGATTGGATTGCATGTTGGTATTTGAGAACAAGAACAGAGTCACAAATGCTTCCAGTTTTGGGCTAGGTGCCTGAAAAGATGAAGTTGCCATGAACTGAGATGGAGAATTCTGTAGGAAAAGCAGATTTGGGGGAAAGAATGGAGAGTAACTTTGCATATTAAATCCAAATAGTGCTATTGGTGATTTCTAGTCTTTATATTCAGAAGCCCAGTGCAGTGCCTAGCATATAGTATTGGATTATCAGAAAAGTCATGACTAATTTTTGTATAGGAAAACAAAACAGAAAAATGGACCAGCAGGTGGCATTGTGGTTGAGGCACTGGACTCCCACGTGGCTGACTGAGGTTTGAGTCCCAGACCTGGCAGCTTGTTTTCTCACATTCTCTCTCTGTCTCTCTCTGTCTTGTCAAATTAAAATGATAATGAATGGTAAATGAAATAAAATAAATAATTTTTAAAAATATACCATGACTTTTCCGATGACCCAATAGCTATCTGCCTGACTCACTAGTGTCATATAGTTCTTACATTTTAATATACTGGGTTTCCCTAAGTAAGGTATAAATGTATGGCATTTGCTATTTTTGTCCTGATAAGGTTTAAGAGGGGGCTTCAGTGTCTGCTTAATGCTATCTCTAACTTGGTCATTGATGATATGAGAGTTCTTCAGAGTTTTTGTTCCTCCTTTCATTTCAAAGAAAGGAGACTTTCTTCTATCTATAATAAAAGGAACGAAATGTACATAAAACTGGACTTAAAAATGTACTTAAAAATGTACATTAAAAAAAGGTACATTAAATAGTGTACTAATTACAAAACCTTGTTTTACCACTGTCACTGGCAAAAAAATATTCATCTTTGTGGAGTATGTGATATTCAGTATGGACTCTAATAAATACGGATATTTTCTGTACTTCTTTTAGGTAGTATTTTTCATTTGAATAAAAGATTGGCGTTTTGTAGCCCAGTGGAAATTTTGCTGCAGTAGATTTTTTTTTTCATTACAATAAGGAAAAATATAGTACTTGTGACCCATTTTGTGACCCATGTTTCTTGGGGGACCAGCAGATGATACAGTGGTTACATCACTGGAATCCCACATGACCAATCATAGTTTGAGTTCTGGACTGGGAGGCTTGAAAATCATGCCAGGCACGTGTGTGTGCATGCCCAACATTCCGGGAGGAGAAGGGAGAAGGCACTGCAGTGTGGCCATCGCTCCTGAGAGGGTGATTTCTCACTTTCCCTCTTACTGTGTCTGCCTCTCTTTCTGTCTGAAAAGTGCATGCACCCTGAGACAAAAACCTCTAAACAGACAAACAAACAAACAAATAAATAAATGTTTCCTGGGGCTGGCAGGTGTCATGTCACGGTGGTTAAGGTGCTAGACTCCCACATGGTTAACTATTTGAGTCCTGGACCTGGTGGCTTGCTTTCTCTCTCTCTGGCCAAATTGAAGAATTATAATAAATAAAATTAAATAATTCTTTTTTTAAAAAAGTTTTTTATAATATGATCTTTGTTTATTTGGTAATCTTAAATTGGTTAGCTTGGTATATAATACAGCTGTTTCCATTTACTGTAACTTTGCATTTAAACAAGGAGCATCATTTATGCTTTAAATGAACCTTTCAGGGCCAGCCCATAACTTAGTGGTTAAGTGAGCCAGATTCCTATGGCTGAGTACAGTTCAAATCCTGGCCCCAGCAGCTTGAAAACCATGTTTTGTGTGTATCTGATGTGTGTGTCCAAAATCCAAGAGGATGGAGAAATAGAGAGGCGATTGCGGTGTGACCATGCCCCATTGCTGGGTCGCCCCCCCCCCCCATATCTGTCTTTCTCTTTGGTGAGCACATACCACCCCGGGGAATTAAAAAAAAGAAAAATGAATTTTTAGATGTTTGAACATATATTTATCATGATTTTCTTTTTAAAGGTTTTTGTCATAGGGTGAGTGTGCTCGCTGGACAGAGACAGACAGTGAAAGGGAAAGTGAGAAATCACCCGTCAGGGGATGGCCTTGCTGCCGTTCCTTTTCCTCCATTCTCCTCTTGGGATTTTGGGCACATGTGCACATGCACCTGGCATGATTTCAAAGCCGCCAGTTCTGGGACTTGAGCCACGGTTAGCTATGGGCGAGTCCAACCCTAACCATCATGTTACCTGCTGACCCGTATCGTAATTTTTTAATGTAAAATGAAAATTAACTGTGGAATTTTAAAATATACTCTATTTGAAAGAAGGAAGAAATATAATGAAGTGAAATAAACTTAGGGAGCAGCAAGCAGGTGGTATTTACGTGTGCCCAAAATCTGAAGAGAATGAAGGAAAAGGGATTGTGATGTAACTTTCCCTGGGCGGGTGCTTTCTCATTCTCTCTCTCTATCTCTATCTATCTCTTTTGGGAGCACACGCACCCTATAGCAAAATTAAAAGACAAAAGAAACTGGGACCAGCAGTTAGCTTAATGGCTATGTCACTGAACTCCCATGTAGCCGACCGCAGTTTGAGTCCCTGACCCGGTGGCCTAAACTCATGCCGGGTGCATGTGCATGAGTGCCCAAGATCCCGAGAGGAGAATGGAGGAGAAGGGATTGCAGCGTGGCCATCCCCCCTGGGGGGTGATTTCTCACTTTCTATCTCTCTGTCTCTGTCTTTCTGTGAGCGCACGCGCCCTATAGCAAAAACCTCTATAAAAAAAGACAAAAGAGAAACTGTTAGGGAGAATTGCATTTAGACAGTTAAAAAAACCATTTTTTTTAAAGAGTTTTTTTGCTACAGGGCATGTGCGCTCACTGGAGAGACAGAAAGGGAGTGATCAATCCCCAGGGGGATGACCATGCCTCAATCCCTTTCTTTCATTCTCCTCTCAGGATTTTGGGCATGCACGCACACACACACCTGGCCTGAGTTTTAAGCTGCCGGGTCTGGGACTCCAACCACAGTCGACTACATGGGAGTCCAGTGATGTAATCATTACACCATCTGCTGGTCATATAAAACCAGTTTTTAAACATTGTTTAATGTGATTTTAAAATTAAGATGTATCTTAGTGTTTCCTATCACTTGTATTTTTGTGTAATCTGGGTATTCATTCAGCTAGCAATTATTAGATACATGCTACATAACCCTTGGATAGAAAAGAGATATAGTTCTAGATACAGTTTTTATCTTTAAGGAGGACATTGTGAAGGCTGAGAAGACAGTATAAGTGGAGATACTATGTAGAGATAAAGAGAGGGCAGGTCAGCTGGTGGCATGATTGTTATGGAAACTGGATCTCACATGGCTGACTGTGCTGTTTGAGTCTGGAACCTAGCACCTTGAAGAACATGCCAGGTGTGTGTGTGTGTGTGTGTGTGTGTCTAAAATCTCAAGAGGAGAATGGAGGAGCAAGGATTGCAGTGTGGTGCTTTCTCATTTCCTCCCTCTCTTTCTCTGCCTCTCTCTAGCAAGTGCATGTGTCCTATAACCAATTTAAAAAAAAAAAAAAGAAAAAGATACAGGGCATTAATGCAGCAAGTGCAACGCTTTTGAGAGCACGGGGAGGGGATGTGAGGCTTCCCAGGGGAGGTTAGTTTTTTTTTTCTTGGGTGGGGGGAGGTTAGTTTTGAGCTCAGGGTTATAAAATGAGCAGAAGTCAGCCAGTCCAAAGAAAGGTGGGGTGAGAGCAGATTCCAGATAGACTGGACTGTGCGCACAGAGGCCATGGGGGAAGCAGCACGGTGCACGTGAGGTTTACAGTTGGAGGTGCGGAGTGGGGAATGGCAAAGCTGGAGAAGTAGGTGGGGATCTGATCATGGAAGACTTTGGAGGTCATGACAAGGAGATGTGAGCTTGATGGTGCACTATTGCAGAGGCTTCAGAAAGTGACCTGGTCCAATTTTTGTCTTAAATAGATCACTTTGCCAGCTGTGTGGAGGATGGATTTGAGGGAGACAAGACTGGAGGCAGTAGTCCAGGTGAGAGATGTTGGGGATCTGAACTAAGGTGTTGGCAGCAGAGCTGGAAAAGAGGGAATGGATTGGAAAAGAAGGAAAAACCACAGATTCAAAGGTTTCTTCCTTCAAATATGATAAAGATAATTTTTAAATAAAAAATGTGTAAAGGGAGAGACAAAGTGTTACTATATGATATAGGCAGATGGATAGCTTGCTGTGGCAGACAGCAACTAAAAAGTCCCAGTGGTCAAGAAAATTACCATGGGAAGAACCGTGTGTACTTTTGTATATCCAACCTGGGCTGTGAGAAGGTGATCTTTAACTAAGATGGTGTAGGGATCGCCTGTCACATAGTATGAGTAAGTGTAGGAATCGCAAAGCCTCATGGAAAGAAAAGGTTTTACACAGCTTCAGCCATTACACGTGGTAGAAACTCCATAAATGTCCAATAATGGTGATATTTTCTAAGCCTTTCAATTTAATTATTGTTTTTTTTTTTTAAATTCAGTGCCCAGGAAAAGAAAATGGAGTTTTAAAAAAAAAAAGCAGCCATTAAAAGAACGAATAATTGCAAGCTATTATTTCATAATGTATAGTAACGTAGAGGCATTTTGGAATGCCAGGAGTATTTTGCATTAAACTAGAATACATTTCTTTTGTTTAGCAGATAATTGTAAGATTGTTTTTCTGGAAGTGATATTTCTATAACTTTTCTCTATGTAAACAGAGGTCTGGATTTATATGATATGTACAGTTACCACACACAACTATTCTCTGTCTTCTGCAACTTGTTGTACATGGAGGAAATAAAGGAAGACGGGTAGTTGGGGAGACATAAAACAAAACTGTTCCTTCTGTAAAACCACTACCACCACAGCAAAGTATCCTTTATATTGTATAAAGCTAGTAACCATTTTTTAAAGATTTCTTTTGTTCATGTTGAGAAAACTTTTTCCTGTTCATTTATGTCTGATTTTGGCACATATAGATGCATCAGGACTAACCACTTATTTTGTAGTCTTATCTCTGAATAGCTTGTTATATTTTCAACAAATGAGTTGTTTCTTGTGTTCATTCGTTACGACTCCACAACTTGTAGTTTTGCCCCACTCTGGAGCCATCAGTATCTGCCAGCTGCTGGAATACTGTGTATGTACCGAGTTGAACTGAATTTTCAGCTGTCGACTTCATTGTGAATTCCTTTCCCTTTTTATGTCTTCTAGAAGCCTTGCACCGACCCTATGGCTGTGATGTTGAACCCCAGGCGCTAAACGAAGCCATCAGGTGGAGCTCCAAAGAGAACCTGCTGGGAGCCACTGAGAGTGACCCTAATCTCTTCGTTGCACTTTATGATTTCGTAGCAAGTGGTGATAACACACTCAGCATCACTAAAGGTGAGGCTTCTATGTAGCATCCTTTCACTTCCCAGTTTTCATTAGTGGTTAAGAAATAAAGGGACTGGGACCAGCAGTTAGCGTAATGGCTATGTCGCTGGACTCCCACGTAGTGTACCGTGGTTTGGGTCCCGGACCCGGTGGCTTAAACTCACGCCGGGCACGTGTGTGTGTGTGCCCAAGATCCCGAGAGGAGAATGGAGGAAAAGGGATTGCGGCGTGGCCATCCCCTCTGGGGGGTGATTTCTCGCTTTCTGTCTTTCAGTCTCTCTCAGTCTGTCTGGCGAGTCTCTCTCAGTCTGTCTGGGGAGCGCCCCCCCCCTATAGAAAAAACCCCTCAAAAAAAAAAAAAAGAAAAGAAAAAGAAAAGAAAAGAAAAAGAAAGAAAGAAAGAAAGGGACCGGGGCCAGCAGATAGTATAATGGTTGTGTCACTGGACTCCCATGTGGCAAAATAATCTCTCTCTAGAAAAAAAAAAAAAGAAATAATGGGACCTAGTCTAGCTTTGTCACTGTCTAAAATTAACTAGGTGATTCGGGTCCAGGTACTTTTGGTTCATTGTCTTTTTTCACCTATGTATGCCATGTTGCTCTGTAAGGTTGTAAGTAACTCTGTTTTTTAAAGTTTAGTTAGGATAAAATGAGAAAAGCACTTTAGAATAAAATCTTCAAAATATATACATAAACTTTCCTTCTGTGCTGTATATACCAGCATTGTCTACCACAAAGGTGAGACTTACTTGGCATCTAGTAATCTAACTGTGGCTAAGATTAGTCACATTGCTAGACTCCAGTGCATTACCAGTTCACAGTGAGATTAAGCACTTGCATCAGAATCGGCAGGTGGCGTGGTGATTAAGGGCGCTAGACTCCCACATGGGCAACTGCAGTTCAAGTCTCGGACCTGACTGCTTGCTCTCTGACTTTCCCTTTCTCTCTTGCTCTGTTTGTCTCTTTTCAAATTAAAACAGAGTTAAATAAAGTAATTATTTAAAAACAAACAAACTTGTATCTAATAGGGCAGGAGATGGTATAGCAGTTATGTCACTGGGCTCCCACATGGTTGACTACAGTTTGAGTCCTGGACCCAATGGCTTGAACATCACGCTGGGCACACGTATGTGCGTGCCCAAGATCCTGGGAGGAGAATGAAGGAGAAGGGATTGTGGTGTGACCATTCTCTCTGGGGTGATTTCTCACTTTCCTTCTCACTGCTCTGTCTTTTTCTCTCTTCCGGCAAGTGCACATGCCATAAAGCAAAAAAAAGAAAAAAAAGAAAAAAGAAAAACAGTTAAAAAAAAACTAAAGAAGAACTTGCATTCAAACTGTAACCCAAGCACATCCCTGAGCATGCTCTTTATTATTTAGTTCAGCTAACCTTTACATTTTTCAGAGCAAGACTTTTTACATGAGTGTAGTATTTGAGTCTTTCACATTCTGGCACAAGTTTCTACCTTGTGGACCAGTTTTGAGTACTACTAACCTAGGCAACTTAAATGCCTGTCCTTGGTGTTTTTATGGATTAAGGGAGTGAAAGTAGGAAGTTTCTATTTTAGTAATATTCTCAAGCCAGAGTACTTTATTTCAGTAGTAAATTCTTATAAATGGGAATTCTAAGAACAGGACCAAGTAAAACCACCCATTACTGATTTTTTTTAAATAAGGACAGAAAAGTGGAACTTTTATAGGAAAAAAATAGGAGTATGGGGACATTCTCATGTGTGTGGATGGGATTGCTAGTCTGCCTTAGCTTCTTTGCCTTTTGAACCTTTGCAAGCGTTCTACTGAGAAAAACTGCCTTCCTGGGTAATTTTTAACTAAATGAAATTGTAGCTTGGATGATCACAGTTGACCTTTGAACAACATAAGTTTGAACTGTGTGAGTCCACCTATAGGTGAATTTTTTTTCAATAAATAAATGTATTAGGTTGTTGAGAAAGTCACTTTCTAGATGACCCAGTATTTTCTCTTCCTCCTGATTTCTTTAATAACTTTTTCTTTCCTCCAGCTCACTTTATTGTAAGAACATAATACATAAAACATATAAAATATGTGTTAAATGACTTTATTTTAAAAGTCCTAGTTACCATCCAGGCCAGTAATACATTATTAGAAGATGGGTTTGTGAGGAGTCCAAATTTATACATGGGTTAGCAACTTCACGGGAGTTAGCTCCCCTGACTCTTATATTGTTCAAGGGTCAACTGCATTTATCAAGACAGATACGTTTTATTTAATCTGACCAGAGAGAGAGAGAGGAAAAGTGAGAAGGCAAGCCACCAGGTCTGGTACTTGAACTATGGTTGGCCATGTAGGAGTCCAGCACCTCACCCACCACACCACCTGCTAGCCCCTATACATCAGTTTTTGAAATACAGCCAGATTAATCAAAAGCAGAACTCCTTCAGACTGAGTTTCTCAAACTGGAGTACAGATATGTCTGAGTGGAAGTGATTGCACCTACGCATATGCCCATTTTCAAAGGCATTAGAAAAGTAAAAGTGCCGTTTTTTATCTCCTGGTGGCAATTGTGCTTAAAGGTTTTGGGTGGTTTTGAAGAACAGATGGTGATGATGTGTGTATAGGGGGTTGTGTTTATGCAGTTGAAGGAAAGTTTTACAAAGTGTGAAGATAAAACAAAGGACCTCAGAGAAATTCGACGCCGTGCAGCAGTCTCTCTGAGCTGCAGTATACTCTAATACTTCAGCGGAGAAATGTGTGAAGCAATGACTCAGAAGATTCTTTCACAGGTATAATTTTTCTGTCAGTTTTTTTCAAGATAGCTCAGTCACCAAGGAAACACTGATAAAGACATGTCTTGATTCCTCAATTTCCAGTTTTTAAAAGCAGCCACTACTGTGCGGCTCTAGGGTGAGAGTTCCCTTTATCTTATGGCCAGCAACACTTTCTCTTAAAACCTATCAAATGCCAGATTTTCATGTCAGGTTCTTATTAATATAAATGATGTCATACTAAAGCAATTTTTAAAAGTTTTTTTTATGTTATTTGTGCATGTATGCACATGCACAAGGTGGGGGCAGAAAGAGAGGGAGAGGAACACCCCTAACAAGGTCATGTCAAACTGCAAACCCCTTTCTCCACCACTCTAGCTCATCAGAATTTGGGGCATATGTATACACCCAGTGTGTTTCAGGTCAGGGGTGTGAGCCCATGGTCTGCCATGTAGCCTCCTGCACCGCAGTTTAGCATGCCACCAGCTACACCATCACGCTGGACCTAAAACTATTTAGTATATTTTTAAAATAAAACAACAATACTTTGATTCCTTCTTCTTCTTTGAAGATGATATTTTGCTTAAAATTGTTAAAAAGGGGCCAGCTGATGACATAGTGGTTAAGGCGACTGGATCCCACATAGCTGATAATGACTGTGTCGTTCAAGTTCCGGACTTGGCAGCTTGATAAACATATGGGTGCATGTGTGCATGTCCGAAATCCCAAGAAGAGGGGGAAAGGGAGGAGGACGGGTTGCAGTGTGACCTGCCCCATAGCGGGTAGTGCTTTCTCATTTTCTCTTTTTTTTTTTGGAGAGGTTTTTCGCTATAGGGCGCGTGCACTCGCCAGACAGAGAGAGACAGAGAGACAGAAAGCGAGAAATCACCCCCCAGAGGGATGGTCACGCCTCAATCCCTTCTCCTCCATTCTCCTCTTGGGATCTTGGGCACGCACGCACACGTGCCCGGCATGAGTTTTGAGCCACCGGGTCTAGGATACGAACCGCGGTTGACTACGTGGGAGTCCAGTGACACAGCCATTACACTAACTGCTGGTTCCCTCATTTTCTCTCTCTTCTGTCTTTCCAGGGAGTACATGCACTCTCTGGCAAAATTAAAGGATGCATTAAAAAAATAAAATGCTGATAGGGCCAGTGTTTGTATCCTACTAGTCACATCCCTGTTAATTTCCGTGGTAGTCAAAATTTAAAGAGTGGAAAATTTTCCTGATAACTCTCAAAAAGAGAATAGAACAAACAAAACCCTAGGGTGTTTGACTGTGTCCTAACTATGATGGCCTGTCATTTCCATTTTTTTTTTTAAGGAAACAACAATATTAAAAATTTTTTT